ATCCCCAGGAGTGGATAAAAATTAACTTTCCGTGAAGCAGTTTCGCTCTTAATGTACCGCGTAAACATTACTTATTCGTCAAACTATGTCTATGTTGTTGTAACTTTTAGTATACCACTCCTTTTGTTCAATCCATCACGTCTATCTCGCCTGCTATACCTAAAGCTTTGAACTGCTCTCGAAGACATTTGAGAAAGGCTACCCGGTCCTCGGGGAGTAGGTAAAACGTAAACTCTGCCCCTCCTGGCCCTCGTTCTTGCCTAGGCTGAGACTCCTTCCCGAACTGTAGAGGTGGATTGCGCTTGAACATCTTCGCATATCTCGGGAATTTGGATACCGTATGGAGAAAATGTGTCTTGGACTGTCCGAAACCAAAGTGTGCACTTGTGTAGTCGAACCTGTCCGTCGTGTCAGCGAAAGGGACAAGTAATATTCGATGATACGAAACTTGCCTCCAAGATGAGTTGAGTAAGAAGCTATTGGCCAAGGGAGTAAAATCCACTTTCTCCCCTTTGTCTGCTGCGTCCCTCCACAGTCTTCGAATAGTGAGCAAGCAGGCAGCCTGATAGGTTTGTTCACGAGCTGTAAGAAAGGAGCGTCGTATGGCCACTGCCGTCTGTACGACATCAAATGGTGACGACGTCGTAGCATTTGCCCAAGAGAGTGCATTGAGAGGTTCATCCAATGGAAGAATACCGCCACGTAGCTGAGCGAGATGGGTAAGAATATCTCGGGTTATGGTTATTTATACTTACATTTAGGACGTTAGATATAAATTTCACGGGCCCTCTGGTCGATTTCATCTCTGCCAGAGCTTGGGAGCATGCAGTCGTAACCAACGCCGTGACACAGTCCTGGACGCTCAACTTGATAGTATTATCGGAAATATTGGCGTCTTGTAATCGCTTTGATAGGATTTCCCTCAGCTGAGTTAATTGAGTAGGGGAAAAGAAGAGTGTGATTCTTTGTGAATTGGGCAGTTGAGTACTTGGATTTCTGGCAAGTAGCTGAGGGAATTGTTCTTCGAGCTCTGTGCGATCCCATGCTTCCAGACAGGTGGCATCGACTGGATGTCTGGAATACGTAGGTACAGCTTCAGGGAATGAAAGCGACTGATATGCATGTGATATGAACCTCCAAAACTTTGTCATGAAACTTCCGTCCCCTAATACAAACGATCACTTCAGTGTAGCCTAGGTTCAGGGACAACTTACCGATTAGATGCGCAGAAGTGGCTCCTACAGTCGTCACCCTTGGGTTTGTTTGAAAATTTATGACTCTCATCTTGAGTAGGGCCGTATCTTTGCATACTCTGATGGCATCGATGTCGAGTGGCGGAGAGTAATACCAGGGATCCTGGATCACAGAGTCCCTCGGAAGCATATCGTTGTCAGGTGCATCAATAAACTCTACTTCCACCGGTTGATTCAAGAGTTGAATGCCCCAGGGGTGCCTCGCATCAGATGCCGTACGCAATCGTCCACAAAAAAGAGGAAAAGCCGACAGTGCTCTTTCTAAGGCATGTAAGAAACGTTTTCGGTCAATTTCACCTTCAAATAGAAAGCCGGTCTCCACCTATGGGGAATAGTGAAATGACACGCTAGGGCTAAAGTAAAGAGGATATACTCACCGGAAATTGAAGCATCAAGTCGGAGTCTGCGAGGTTGTAATATTCATCATCTCCCAAAACCGTAGGCAGGAGAGGGGATACTAGCTCCATCGAAGATGACCGGGGACAGGGATTGCAAGGGATGACTCGATTGAAAAGATGTGGAGACGTACATGTGTTTTTGTCTACAATAATCAAGGAGGCCCCAAATGCTCATGAATATAAAAATAATAAAAGACTGTTGTTATACAAGGGATTGTGTCGGGTGTGAATAGTGGATGGTTCGTGTATACATCGACGATAGAGGACACACCTTTCGATATAAGGATTGCTGTAACACGTGAACCAGGAAAAAGGGGAAGAGAAGCGAGAGTTTCAAAGTCGGGCGAAGAGAGGGAATGGTTCCAGGACAAGAGATTTTACGCTCTTGTCAGCGAAAGACTGGGGTAGTACGTGTATACTCGTAATTAAAGTGAGTATTATTGTCGGAATGTGTACCCTCTTCTCTGTCGTAGCCGTCGGAGTCACTTTGGTCGCTGGAATTTGGGACTATGGACTGAACTGTAAGGCTATCTTGGGAAGAGAGCAGTGTCTGAGCACTGGACGTGACCTCAGGGCTGGGAAGGGAGGATTTATGGTTCAAGAGTAACGTGTGAGGTTTGAACGTTTCCCTGCAGCTTGGCGGTACGAGGAGCGGTTGTAACCGCGTTGCGCGTTTTACTGCCTCCAAATAGAAATGCATGCTTGGCTTCGGTGGCACTTTGGCAGTCGTAATCTTTGATTGGCTACGTTGTTGTCTTGGAAGGGGTAACTCATCTGGTAAAACCCTGATCGGCCGGATAAGTGATTGTCGACTATTTGAATCTCTACGACTGAAAATGGACGACTCTGGTAGCGCATGGGAAGCACCATATGCATGTATGGTAACCTGGGTGGAAGAGAGCGCGCAGGATACGGGTGGGGCTGTCTGTTGGGACTGGGGCAACCCTCGGTAACCGCTTTGAGATGCATTTCCGATTTTGGAAGAAGTAAAGACAAATGAGCAAGACAACGGCTGGGAGGCTGCTGCCACGGAATGAAGGTTGCGTTCAAAGAACGGTTTCAATGGTGTATCCTCGGTCGATTGCGAGGTTTGCATTAAAACTAGTACTAGAAACTCCCTAGAAACGTCGTAGAAATGTGCTATGGCACCTAAACGAAGGTCAATCTGACGGGAGTCGAGCGCATGGTAGCACATGCAGACCTTTCCACTAGTACTCTTGATTTTATTCCAGAAAAGGAGCCGTAAAAGACGCAAGACAGCGTCTTAGAGCCTTTTGGGCCTCTGCGATGGTGAAGAAAGGAAAATGCCAGATGTAAACGGGTACAAGGGTGGGCTAGACCTATGGTCCATTTGGGATAACCTGACACTCGAGGAAACGCAAACAGTCAAAGAATAAGGGATAAATAAATATTTTCACGAAAGACTAGAGACTTTTCCGAGCCTTTTGGTCCCATCTCTGTCTCCAACGAGAATAGGCATCGCCATGTCCTCCATCTGACCATACCGCCCAACCGTCCATGATCCTCAGCCAAACAAACGGTGGAGATGCAAGGAGAAATCGACGAAACTTGCCAGGGAGTGAGTTTGGATACGCCCGGGGGATATACTCTGTTGTGACATAGTATCCACAGCCTAGTGCGATCCCAATTCCAAGACCCCAGAGGATTTGAGGTACCGTGTGATAGCCCAAGTAATACCTGGACAATATAAACAAGCGTAGAGTGTAGGATGGCAAACGACTCACCGAGAGTAGCAAACGGCGAGAGCCAGACTGACAATAGCTCCTCTCACTGCAAGGGCGAACAGAGTGTCGAGCAATACGATCCCAGTAGTAGCAAACCTATGGTGCAAGTGCAGGTGAAGGACCATAAATGCAGCAAAATACCCCATAAATTGTGAGTGCGAGGACGGAAAACCGTACCCTCCGCCGGATGGATGGAGAGCTATCATGATTGCGTTGGCTCGATGCTATAGCAAAAAGAATATAACCACTCACTCGCAGGTCTTTCCTCTTTGATCACGTGCTTTAAGACATAATTAAAGCCTTCACAGCCAAACTGGCCAATCCACATATTTATGATCAAGAGGTCACGTGTGACGACACTAAGTGCACCGTAGCAAGCCTGTAATATTTCGGTACCCTGTATAAGATGAGCACGGTACTCACCATTAGCAAAATTGGAGACAAGGTAACAAGTGCCAGCGCAAGTCCAAGATTCGAAGCCGGATCATCTAGGGAGGGTGAAATTCAAAACGAAAGGGCATTACAGCTACTTACAAAGAACGTGAGTGAGGTCTAGTGCCTCGAGCGTATCAGCCATGTCGCGGGCCAGTCCAAAAGCTGCGCAGCCGCCCGAGACAAAAAAGGGCTGCACTGGGAGTTGAACCCAGGGCCTCTCGCAGATTGGTTAACCCAAAGCGAGAATCATACTACTAGACCATGCAGCCGAAAAGTATCTGTACTGTCTTGCAAGCAATTATATCCAACTACAATTTGGCTGGCTGAACATAGTCGTTCTCTGGGCCAAAACTATTGATTCATACATTCATGATACTCTGCTCGTTAACTAATACTGATTTCTTCAGACGGTCACTTTCATCAGCGGGAGTAAAGCCACCATTATTGATCTTCTGTGCTATTGCCACCGTCTTTGTCAACTGGACATGTGCAATTTTCATCTTCATCTTTACTTGCGAAGCTATCATCATGCGCCATAGCCATGTGTTAAAGGAGATGGATATTTTGTCCATGTGTTTCGCCGCCTTGTTCGCAATACCAACTATTTCCTCTCTTCTCCCTAATGCGTGGTAGATCTGACCGATATTGAGTTAATCTATGAGAAGCTGACATTGCTATATAGGTGCTCCAGCCTATGGTGCTATTATTGATCTTGTTGGCATTCTCCCTTGCACACTTATCGTCGCCTCTTGTGCTGTCTGTGTCTCCGTTGCAAAGCTGAACAAACGCCACAGGACAGAGAAAGCGGAAGAGGGGGTGCTTACTTCTCTCACGGATCGACCTTACAATTGTAGGCCCTTGTAATAGATTAGACTCACAATTTCACAAGGACCAAATTGGATTCCAGCCAATATGCGGGCGAATAAGAATAGATTTCCAGAAAATGAGCCTAGAACGAAACCAATCAGATGAAAATGCCCAGGTGGCGTCGCTTGGTTGGTCCCTTCGCCGTCTGGATTAGAACGCATCGACTCGGGTCTATACTGTATCTATACGGAATTCTTGGATAAATACGTTTGAGGGGTCGCTGATATGGTAGGTATAACTGTAGCCTAGGTATACACTCAAGTTTCTGGACATGTAGATCCATAACAAGGTAGTTGGTTGTTGGTTCAGTGGTGTAATGGTTATCACGTTCGTCTCACACACGAGAGGTCAAGAGTTCGATCCTCTTCTGAATCATCAGGTTTTTTTTGCTCCTTTCCAATATCACGTTGGTGGCCAATACTTTTTTTTACGTCCCCGTATCTTGTGATCCCAAATAATTGAATGACCGTATGCATATGCCCACATCGCTATTTGGGAATGCTCTATATAAATTCCAATGGTGCCAACGTCTCAGCATCTCAAGTACAAATCTTTCATTGGTGACTATATCCCAGGGTCGACGATGTGCATTCTAGGTGGCGCCGACTGAGGATTGGTACAGGCCGCTCACCCTCTTGGTCCCGATCCCTTCCCCCTTTACCCCACAAACCACTCCCTCGCAGCAACTCTTCGTCTGGAGGGCATCTATGGATACTGCACAGCTCTTCCGTATGCGTCTCCTGCGGGATCTCCGTGATATCCAGGTCAATGGTGACCCTGGTTTCATCGTTCATCCAGCCAGCGACGATATGCGTCGTCTCTGCCTGCAATTATGTCCCGAAAGTGGACCGTGGGCGTTTCTGAGACTCCACTTCAACGTCGAATTGCCAGCTAACTGGGTGAGCATTACCCTCCACCGCGATTAGGCGTCTTTTCTTGTTCAATATACCCCTCCATTATCTCTATACTATATAATTTATGGCTTCTGATCTGATTTCTCATTGACCTTGCTCGATTTTCGCTCAATATTGGTTTTTGCCACACCTCGATCCCCTATAGCCCGCCGCCCCTCCGCGTATATGGATATCTGCGGATAATGTACAACACCCAAATATCATTTCTGGAGGACTGATATGCGCGGATATTTTTCGCGAGGCTGCTGGCGGCTACAACGGCTCACGGAACATTGGGTAAGTGGCCAGTTTTGCCGTCATCTCGATATCTATACCGTATTTGGATATCTCTCGGCTCAAATAGCTACAGATACAACCCTGGATATACCCTGCGTGGAGTTTTCAAACAACTCTTGTCGGTGTTCTCTAGTTCGTTCATCACGGACAACTATGGAGTACGTGGTGAACACCT